GTGGATTCAACGATCGATTTCAGAGCAAATTGCTAAATCAGTGTTATGGATCGATAATGCCTCTGGTGTGTGGAAGAACTTGCAGATTAGGTTTTCACAAGGCGATATTTTCCGCATTTCTGACATCCAAGAAGATCTCTACAAATTCAAACAAGGTACTCTTGACGTCTCAAACTATTTTACTCAATTGAAGGTTATGTGGGACGAATTAGAGAATTACAGACCTATTCCATCTTGTAGCTGTGATATTGCCTATTCTTGTGGTGCCATTGCATCCATTAGATTGTATAGGGAACAGGATTATGTCATACGATTTCTGAAAGGTTTAACTGAAAAGTTTGCTCACTCTAAGTCTCAGATAATGATGATGCATCCCCTTCCTAGCATAGACAAAGCCTTTTCCCTAGTTATTCAACAGGAGCATGAAATTGACAGTTCAGTATCTAGTGTTATCCCATCCATTGCTGCCAATGAGCAGGCTACAGCCTTGCAAACTCAAACTCATGAGGCTAATTTCACTGCTAAGCAAGGAGGTTTCCACAATTATCGTGGCAAACCTCAAGCCTCTCAAGGATCTAATACACCTAGGGGAACTAATAGGGTCTGTGTTCATTGTGGGAGAACAAATCATACCATTGAGACATGCTTTCTTAAGCATGGTTATCCACCAGGTTACAATAGTTATAAAGGAAAGAGTAAATCTCAGGGTGCTGCACACACAAATTCATCTGCTGCAAATATGAGCAATGGCACTGAATTTTCTTCTCAAGGCTCAGCTACTTCTTCATTTGGATTTACTAAAGAGCAGTATGATAGCATTCTTGCTTTGCTTCAACATTCCAAACAACCATCCACTGTCAATTCTGTATCTACCTCTCCTTTAGCTATGCAATCCACTTCTTCCAATGTGAATGGTAAGCACTCTGATCTTTGGATCCTGGATACATGGGCCACTGATCATTTCTCTTTTAATTTTGCTTCCTTCACTGATCATAAATACATTGTTCCCATACCTGTAAATCTGCCTAATGGATCTCAAATATTTGCTTCTATTTCTGGCACAGTAGCTATCTCACCTTCCTTCATTCTGAAAAATGTTCTTTATGTCCCTAGCTTTCATGTTAACCTAATTTTTGTGGCTAAACTTGTTGAGCACAACCAATTCACTGTCCAATTTACTCATAATTCTTGTACTATTGTGCAGAATCATTCCAAGGAAATGATTGGTATAGCTAAGCTACACAGGGGGCTCTATACTCTTGATTCTACAGATTTCAATTCATTTGTAAATAATTCTTCTATTTCTCATAATTCTTCTTGTAATCTGTGGCATATGAGATTACGCCACATCTCTAAGATAGGTTTACATAGTATTGCTAAGGCTTTTCCATTCATCACTTGTAACAATGACAATGTACCTTGTGATTCTTGCCAATTTGCTAAGCAAAAGAAGCTTCCTTTTCCACAAAGCATATCTAATTCTACTGTTCCTTTTAACATTTTACATGCTGATTTGTTGGGCCCTTTTTCTACTGCTTCTGCCTTAGGACATAAATATTTTTTGACACTTGTTGATGACTTTACCAGACATACATGGGTCATTTTTCTCAAAAGCAAAGATCAAACAAAATCTAGCCTCATTAACTTTGTAGCTTACATAGAAAATCAATTTCAGACCACTTTAAAATGCCTAAGATCAGATAATGGGACTGAATTTGTTGTTTTATCTGATTTTTTTCTTTCCAAGGGTATCCTTCATCAAAGAACATGTGTAGAGACCCCTCAACAGAATGGTGTGGTGGAAAGGAAACACCAACACATTCGGAATGTTGCTAGATCTATTTTCTTCCACTCCAATGTTCCTTTGAACATGTGGAATTTCTGTATCCAACATGCTGTCCATCTAATAAACAGGCTTCCCACCCCTCTTCTTAAGTTCAAATGTCCTTATGAAGTCTTATTCAAACAACCACCTTCCATGATGCATCTCAAAGTTTTTGGATGCCTCTCTTATGCTACCTCTCTTCAAGCTCATAGAACAAAATTTAACCCTAGGGCTAGAAAAGCTATTTTTCTTGGCTACAAAGAAGGAACAAAAGGTTATATCCTATATGATTTAGCCAATCACAATTTCTTCATTTCAAGAAATGTGGTTTTCTATGAAAATGTTTTTCCCTACAAACTTGCTTCACCTGGCCATAGTCAATCTGAACCATCCAACCATATTCCCTCCTTTCCTATTTTAGATGATCCCTTACCTACATCCTTTCCTACTTCCCAGCCTAGTACCACTGATATTTCTTTTTCCACTGACAGGTCCACATCTGATTTGATATCTCAACCTATAAATTCGGAGTCTGCTACTCTTCATAACATCCAGCCTGTTAGTCCTCCCAGTACTAGCCCTATTTCCAATCAGTCTGTTTCCAGTGATGGGACCCCCCATACCAATTCTGACTCTATCCTTAATACCATTCCTTTACATTCCAGTCCTCCCAATTCTCATGGTCCTCCTGAGTCTCCTTCTTCTAATAGTCATTCTGAACATGAGCTGTCTTCCTCTAATAGTCATTCTGAGGTTCCTCCCTCTAATAACATCTCCACTAGACATTCATCTAGGCAGTCTAATCCTCCTCATTATTTGAAGGACTATCACTGCTATTCTACTCTCTCAAATAACACCTCTCATAATCTCTATCCTCTATCTTCTGTGTTGTATTATGACAAGTGCTCTCCTTCCTATAAACACTTTTGTTGCAATGTCTCATCTAAGTCTGAACCCAAAACCTTTGCCCAAGCCATAAAATTGGAATGTTGGAAACAAGCTATGAATGCAGAATTACTTGCTCTTGAACAAAATCACACTTGGACTGTAGTTGACCTTCCACATGGGAAGACTCTTATTGGTTGTAGGTGGGTCTACAAGATTAAATATAAAGCAGATGGCACAATTGAGAGGTACAAGGCCAGGCTAGTGGCAAAGGGGTACACTCAGATGGAGGGCATAAATTTTTTTGATACTTTTTCCCCTGTGGCTAAGATAACTACTGTGAGAGTTCTTTTGACTATTGCAGCAATTAAAGGTTGGCATGTTGAACAATTAGATGTCAACAATGCTTTTCTTCATGGTGATCTTCAAGAAGAGGTATACATGACTCTCCCCCCTGGCATTTCTTCTTCTAATCCTTCTCAGGTTTGCAGATTACAAAAATCTCTTTATGGCCTAAAGCAAGCTAGTAGGCAATGGTATTCTAAACTCTCCTCCTTTTTGCTGTCTTTGGGTTATGTCCAATCACAAGCAGATCACTCTTTATATGCTAAATCTGAAAACTCTCATTTCACTACTATCTTAGTTTATGTTGATGATATTGTTGTAGCTGGAAATTCTTTGATGGAAATACATAATGTCAAAGCTCTTCTTGACAAACAGTTCAAAATCAAGGATCTAGGCAATCTGAGATATTTCCTTGGATTTGAAATAGCTAGATCAACAAAAGGAATTTTTATGAATCAAAGGAAATATACCCTTGAGCTTTTAGAAGATACAGGGTTTCTTGCTGCTAAACCATCAGCCATTCCTATTGATCCTACTCTCAAACTTACCCCTGAAGATAGTGATCTCTTGGCTGATCCTACTGTGTACAGAAGGTTAATTGGTAGATTAATCTACTTGACCAACACTAGGCCTGACATCTCTTATGTTGTCCAGCATTTGAGTCAATTTGTTTCAAAGCCTTGTACATCTCACTACCAGGCTGCTCTTAAGATACTGAAGTTTTTGAAATCTTCCCCTGCTACAGGTATCTTGTTCTCAGCTTCAAGCTCTCTAACATTGTGTGCCTTTGCAGATTCTGATTGGGCAAGATGTCCCACTTCTAGAAAATCTGTTACTGGTTTCTGTGTGCTCTTAGGATCCTCACTCATCTGTTGGAAATCAAAGAAGCAGAATACTGTTTCTAGATCCTCTACTGAAACTGAATATAGGGCTCTTGCTTCCCTAACTTGTGAGTTGCAATGGCTTCAGTTCTTGTTACAGGACCTCATGATATTGCTACCTCAACCAGCTTCTGTTTATTGTGATAGCAAGTCTGCCATATACCTTGCACACAATCCAGCATTCCATGAAAGAAGCAAGCACATAGAATTGGATTGTCATGTGGTTCGTGAGAAAATCAACTCCAAACTGATTCACCTTCTTCCTATCTCTACTAAAGACCAACTAGTTGATGCTTTTACTAAACCTCTACATTATCCTCTCTTCTCCTCCATCATGTTCAAGTTGGGACTTTGTAGTCTCCACAGTCCAACTTGAGGGGGCGTATTAGCATACTATTTGTATATAGCTTATTTTATTGATGTATATACAAGAGTCAGCTTAGATAAGCTTTGTCAGTTAGTTAGTATTTTATACCTTGCTGGCATCTGGTCATTGGTTGTATATATAGAGTTCACACTCTCTTATCTGTAATAGTTTTGATTCATTGAATAACAGAATACTTTGCCCTTTCTTTCATCTTGTTCAATGAGCATTTCTTAGATGTTCATGACTTCTTCACCTTGCTGGTGTGTTCTCATGGCCATTATTGACAACAATCGATTGCATAAAAACTACACCCTATTGCATTGACTTGAATTATCTTTCATTCTTAACACAAATCTCAAAGAAAGGGAAGTAAATAACTTTCTATTTACCATGATACATATACCAAAATCGTCTAAAAGTTATTTTCACTCTTAATAGAATAAGTGATTGGCAGTTAAATTAAATGAAATATCAACAAGAATTTAAGCAGAGTGATTATTAAATTAAAATGGTAGGGACAAGTCAGTAAATTTACACAAGGCCAGCTCACAAAGATGGTTACCACATGCCCCAAGCCTGAATCAAAAACATCATCACCTCAGTAAATAATTAAAAATAAAAAGTAAAAAAAGCTATCAGATCCAAATCCACAACCACCAACCAATGATCGAGAAAACCAAAATGCCAATCAACAAATCTAGAAAATAGCATGTACAGGGCCCGGACTCACTAGCGCCGATCCCGGCGTGCTACTCGTCGGCGGCTCTGCTACAGTTGGAGGCGGCGGAGACTGAATTGACGGTGGAGGAGGAGGATTGAAGTTAGAGTCAGGCGGAGGAGGAGAGTTGGAGGTGGAGGTGGAGTCAGGCGGTGGAGGAGGGGTTGGATTTGTTACAGGCGGAGATTCTGATTGTACCGGAGGAGCAGGAGGAGAAATGGGGTTATCTGGAGTAAAAGGAGGAGTAGGTAAATTGAAATTCGGTGTCGGAAAAGTACCGCAAGATTCATCAGAGCATTTGGTGTTGTTGTTATTGTTGTGTCGGTGTCGTGAAAGACCGAATCCTATGATCAGACCAGTAACAACCAGCGCGGAGACGATGAAGATGAAGATCTTTGTTGCTTTTCCCACGTAGCACATTTTGTTCCCTTTTTTTCTCTGAACTTGTTCTGAAAGCTGTAATGTGTGATAAATAGTGGGGCTTAGTTCTGAAATTTGGTTTATCTTTTATCTATGTATTGTTATGTTTTTTTGTTTGTTTAGGAGAAAGAAGTGAGTGTGGGGTTTATGGGTTGTTTTTCGTCTTTTTCTCATGGCGTTTTGAGGGAGTGGGAGTGTGCATATCAAGAAGTTAACTACTGGTTGTTTTGTTGGTGTTGCTGGGATGGTTTATAAATAAGGGTATTGAGTGGGTAGACATGTGATGGGTGATTTTTATGTTAAAAAAGTTGAGGAGAAAAGTGAATATTGGTGTTGCCAAATAAAGACCAAAAGTCAAGGATGTTATCAACTTTACACAGGTCACTGTGTATCGTAAGAGTTTTTTATAACATAGCGTCATAACCCATTTACTACACACATTAAAAAAAAATTCAAAGCAAAAAATAAATTGTTTACCGTAGTTTCTATTACGGTATGAAATTGCATATTGTTGGAAAAAAAAGGCGTATGCAGGGGATGTTGTTGATAGCACGGGGTCCATTATTTGATATGATGTGGGGAAGGGAATCTAGGGTGAACGAGGATGGATTGGCAGTGAGGTTGTTTGAAAGTAACCGTTAAAAGCGGAAGCAGTCAATTATCATAGAGAATCGAGCATGACAGATGTGCATGTTTGCCACGTCAACCTATGTTATAGGGTTGTATTCCTGCTCTGATTACTTGACTTGACTCATAAACATGGCCTCAACCGTTAAATAGAACAAAATTCATGTGAATAGGATACATGAGTCACAAGGACTCAAGCTCAAGTATATAATACTCTCTCTCGGCTGATATATTTGTCTACCAAATTATCATTTATAAAATATAGATTTATTTTTTAATCGATTAATATTTACATAGTTATAAATATAAGTTAATAATATACAATAATTTTTAAGTATCAGTTCGTACTTATAATAAAATATACAATCGATTTTCTAAATTTGATTATAGAAAACAATAAAAGAAATTAAAAGATAAATATTAAAATTAACAGTTTAGATATAGTATTTAATAGATACGTTCACATGTACAAGTGAGTCTATCAAAAATCATAAAATTATTTAATTTTACATTAAAAACCTTTCTTTAGTAAATGATTAAAATTTATTTTAGTAATAAAGTCTATATAGAAACATCATAAAGTGATTGATTTTTATGAAATTTAATTTATTGTACAATTATAAATCATAATATGATTTAGTTTTCAATTCAATAATAATAATTTAATATATTAGTAACTGTCGAATTTTTTCAATTTCAAATGTAATGTAATTATTTTTTAAATTATCCTAATTTAAAAAGATATGATTAGAGAAATGTGTAAAATTAATTTATATTTTAAATTTAATTTTCAGTCAAAAAATGTAATATTATTTAAATAATATTATACTTAAAAATATATATATATTTGGGCTCATATTATACTTTAATATCATACTTTTAAAAGACATATATTTAGTAAAAAAAAACAATTTTAAAACACACATTTGAAATGTCATCAAATTCCATATTTAAAAGAGACTGATAATATTTATAAAAAATTATAATTAATTATTTATTTTCATTATATTTATAGGAAGAATATAAATTTTCTCTTTTAAAAAATAAGTTAGTAATAAAAATAAAATAGTTTTAATTGATGAGAATTGAAATAGTTTCTTGGGTAAGAAAATAATGGAAATAATTGGTACAGCAGTTACAACTGCTTTTTTTTCTTTTTTCTTTTTTTTAAGAAACAATCAATTAAAAAGTAGGGTTTAATGATTATAGTGTAAAATTTTTACACTTTATCCAATAAGATTATATCATTCTGATATGTCATATAAATTTTTTAAAATTTTTAGTCTGACTTGTCCTAATACATGATTATCATTGATTGACAATGTAAAATTAATTTACACTATTAATACATCATCTCTTTTCTCTAAAAAGTAAGACTAAAATTAAAAATATTTAAATTTAAAAATATATGAACCGATTAGCATCAAACAAAAATTGACATCTTTAAACTCAACTCATTTTAGCAACCTTAGCCTCAATTTCTTTTTCAAAATTTGCATTGCATTAGTTTGACAGCGTCCACTTGTATATAATAGGATATGAAGAATAAAGGATATGTGTGCATTTAGAAGCTCAAGAAAATTAATAATAGAATTGTTGAGCTTCTCTATAAAATGAAGTTTTTCTCTTAAAAAAAAGTAAATTGTTGAGCTTCCCTATGAAATGAAGTTTTTCTATAAATTATTGATAATACATTATTGTAAAAGTTTGATTTGGTATAGTATTTATTATATTAGAATTTTCTTTTAAAGTTTGATTTCAATTTAAGCTTTTATATAATATGTTAATGTCAGCAAATTATTATATATCATCTTTATATTTATTAGGGTTCATTAAACATGCAGAGACATGTGTTAATATACATTATCCAATTTTTTTTAGGTTGACAGTGAAGGTCAATGAGAAAGATTCAGCAGTACAAGAATCTGAGAGAGAAAGAGATTTTTTAAGTTGGTGTATTACGGCTTTGTACATCTCTTATGTAGTACTTGCACTTAGGAAAATGGAATCGTACAAAGGAATATGGGAAATTGTGTCTGTATCTCTCCATATTCGAAATAGTATGCGTGAAAGTGTATTTAAGTTTTCTAAAGGTTCTAATGTATTTATTAATATGATCAGCTTTTAATGTTAATTAAGTTATAAAAAATGAAATTAAAAAAATATAATACAACAATGAGTCTGGTGATTATAATAGATTATAATTATTTTTATTAGTATTTTTTATGAAATTATATTTAAGATTTAATTATTAAAACAATACTTTAGGGCTTGAACTTTTCAGCTAGTCCATTAATATTAATTGTGACGTATGAACGAGTTATATAAACTCATATATTCAGAGAATATTTTTCAATATGGACTTAAAACCATCTCACCAATACTGCTTTGGTTGTACTGTTACTCTTTCATCTTCAATTTATAGTATAATCTATGATAGCAATAGATGTTGGTGCTGCATTTATTCAACAAAAAATCAACATAAAAAATACGTTAGTTGCAAACTCATAACACCAAATCATTGCCTGGGACTTTGAAAAGATAAGATATAAATTGAAAACCAACTTCTCAAAAACATGTCTCGCTACTATTCACATAAAATCTCTTCTTCATTACCTCAAAACACCACCTTCCATCACACCATAACGACATCCTTTCCATTTTTTTTCAACCTTAAAACTCCAATACTTCTATGCACTCTTCTTCTTCATAATAAACTTCACCTATAAACAACATAGCTCACCACTTCACCCAACTCAAACCTCCTCATTAACACCATTGTTTCTAACCACGAAATCACATATTTAATTCACTATAATACGGTGGAAGAACTGAATTGGTTGTTTTGCTTTTGATTGCAAATGTTGCGGTTTAGCAAGACTCGCCGCCGACTTTTCTTTTATCCAAAAGGAAAGGCTGAAAAGAACAAGAAAGACCTTTGAGATGTTTTCTTAAGTTCGGGGGGTAGATTATGAAAAGGGAAGGTATTAACACCCTTTTCATCCATGGTTTTTCATGGACTCTTAGTTACTTGCTAGATCACTTGCTTTTATTTGAAAAATGTGCTTTGTGTGGTTTTCAAAAATATTTTGTAAATATGTCATCGTTTAGACAAACTTTATAATGATTCTCGTTTGTAAGAATGTATACGAAATGTTGATCTTTTGAAAATATTTTCAAGTTTGGAAGTTGTTTTTGAAAGTGTTAGTGTTTGTTTTGAAAATAGCAAAGATGTTTTGATTTTGAAATTGAGCAAGCAACTAGGAATAATCTACCTACTCAAAAGTCTTTCATGTTTATTTTCTCTTTCCTTTGACATTGTTATCTTACCATTGATTTGGTAAGTAACCCTCCCTATCTTTGGATGTAAAAGGGACGGGCAAGGATCGTCGTATAACCATGATTAGCAATGTTGTAAGATATCTTAGCATTTTATTTAGGGACTTGGATTATTTTGAAAGACAACTTTGATAGCGTCATCGAGGGACTATGATCTTGTATTTTGTTTGTTTTTGCTAAGATACCTCACATGCGTAATATGGTCATTTTTGTAAGGCAACTAAGTGGATTTACTCTAAGGGTGTTTGTGTGCAAATGTATTGATTTACATGCTTGATTTGTCTTGATTAGGGTTTGCTATTTGTTGGTTTTAATCTTTCCATACAAAACCTTAATTACTAGCATTTGTATATAAAACATTAAATTGCGGAAATTAAAAATACTAAGCTATTACATCATTTAGGGGAGTGGGTGTACAAATTACAAATGGGGAATTGCAAGAAATTAAATTTAAATAATTATTACAACCATATTGAAATTAAATAAATGTACAAAAATGAAGATAAAAATGCAAGAATATAAAATGTAAAAAAGAAATGTGATTTTTATTTGGTTTTCATGAAAAAATGTTTTTTGACCTAGTTAACTAAAATAAAATAATTAGCTAAAAAATAAAAAAAGGTTTTTATATGAAAGTTTTTATCTTAATGAAAATACAAATGAGAATTAATTAATTAAAATAAACCTAAATTCTAAATTAATTTTATTCACAAGAAAATAATATAATAGTTAAACCCTAGTCTAAATATTTATTAAATAAAAAAAGAAATTAATTTATTAAATGAAAAATATTTTTGTTCTTTTAGTTTTTATGAAGAAAATAAATTAAATAAATTTAAATAATAAAATATAAATATTTTTGGGTTTTTATTAGTGAAAATAAAAATAATAAAGTCAGGGAGGTTAAAATTGAATTTTGGAGATTTGTTAGAAAAACAGTTTTTTTTTTAATCTGACCCAAATGATGTTTTTGTTTGGAAATCAGAAAATAAATAAATAAAAGTATATGGGCTGCGTGGTATGAGCAAACAGGG